GAGAGAACGAGAGAGAGAAATCACTGGCCCGCATAACTTTTGGTGGGTTGACCTTTTAAACCGGAATTTATTTTCTATTTTAAAATAGTAAATAGTTTCAAAATGAAATAGATCCAGCATGCATGTAGCACGCATCCTTGCAGGTGTGGCTGTTTATGTTTACGGACAGTATCTTTTATAGCAAAGATCAACAGGATTCTCGATTTGGACCAAAACAACAAAACTTACCAAAGCAGGTTGTTTTGAGAAGGATAAATATAAAACCTTGTCTGCGTAGGAGGTAAACCAGGTACAAAATTAATTTTAGCGTTTCCGGCTATGAGTACTTGAGTATCCGCATTTGATTTTAATGGGCTTACGCGTTGTCCAAAAATATTTTTTTTACAACAGATATTTGCCGTGGCCATTCTAATTAAAAGACAAATATGTTTGAGACATGCACAGTTTGCTGCAGCCAGTTGCTTTCTTATTATGTTTTTTTTTTTACTATTTACTTTTTTTACTTTTTTACCCATATGAGGCGGATGATTGGCACGTCCTGAATCCTCCAAGAAGAATGCTACTGCGCTTCTGATAATTTTCCGAAATGCCGCATATCGCCGTTAACCTTTTTTTTAAAACTCTTTCTGCATGAATATTTCCCAGTCTAATAACTAGCACAGTAAGGTATCACAAAAATACCCTCCCGAGAACATAAAACATTTAAACTTGATTCTGAAAAAGGAAAAATTATATTTTGATATCAAGTTAACTTAACCAGAATCCCTTCGTCCAGTTTTGTATAGCTAGAAGGGTCTCAAGTATAGAGTACATGTAGATATGATCCAAGCAAGAGAAATATCCTGACAAGATTTCGAATCAGCAGTCACAATTTAGAGAAAAGAAACAATTCCAATCCATAATGTTTATGAATGATTACTCTCTTCACTGTTCATTACAAATTTGTGTAATTTGTAGAGTTATTCAACTTATACGGTTTATGTATGTATGTATGTATGTATGTATGTATGTATGTATGTATTATTACTGTAATAATAATTATTGAATTTATTCACTGTGCTTTTTCACCAGATCAGTTTAGCGTAAAAAAGAATAAAAGTCCATGTAACATGTTTACTTAATTAAATCAAAAACTGAATCTAGGGTCGAGGAACGACTGAGAAGTAGGATATTCGTTTTAATTTGGTTGTGGAAGCCTTCCTTCGCACCTTGCTTAGAGTTTATCCAGAGAACTAGCTTCTAACTTTACATGATCACCCATCTAATTGGCAATGGCAGTCACTTTTGAACCGCTTCTTTGTCGGCGTCTCAGTCGTCGTGACTTAAGTAAATCATTACACCTTTTTTAGGATGATGTCGACCACACGCTTTCCAAAAATAAAATCAGCTCTTTCTTCGGTGTCAAAGGTTCTGATCCTTTCGACAAAGATACGTCAGTCTGCGGTAAACGCACCTCGACATATTTTGTACGCTGCTAATGCCGTCGAGGTGCGTTTTGATATACGTCAACAAAAGAAAACAAGAAGTTCCGACGTGTACCTGATACGAAGATTGTCTGACACCCAAGGGTACTATGATAACATATTATTAACCTGTCCGTCTGTAGAATTTTCATGTTTTGA